CCGGTCCCCTCCTACCGCAGAAACGCCTGAAGAAGCAGATGAAACAAAACTACAGAGAGTGGATGGAGACATACCTAAAAGGAAAGCCAGAAACACAGTTAGAAATGTTATTGTTGGAGGTGGGAAAGCTGAGTTTCTTTCGTAGCATGCTACAGAGGGGATCGCAGCTGGAGACGGCACTCCTGCTCTTCCTGCAGCGGTGGGTTGGCTGGGTGCATCCATGGGGCATCTTCTGCCCTCCTCAGCCCCATGGCCATTCGCCTACTGCCACCACCAGCAGTTATATGCATGTCGCAATGAATAAATGTCCAGCTTTGGTATGTGTTCATCCAGACTGATTCCACGTTTCTGGGGCTGAAGACAAAGAGTTGTGGGATTCAGAAATCCCTCCGGCATTGCACCGCTCAGAATAATTTTCCTTGTGGGCACACTAAAGATGATTAAACTTCTCATCACGGCCATCTAGCTAAACGAACAGACCGTGCACCTGGGCTGAAGAAAATTCCCCAGGCATCCTGGAAAACTGCTGGTAAAAAGGTACGGTCGGTCAAATTCATTGCTGAGTTCCAGTAAACCTAGAGGGAATGTAAATCTGTGGGACTTGGGCATTATTCTAGTGACAGCTTATGTAGGTCCAGGTGCTGCTGGTGTTTCTCCAGGATTTCCAGCTAAGAGATGTAAGTTGATGTAGGTTGAGTATCTGGGCTCATGATTTGCCCGGACAGTTCCTTTTGAACCCATCAAAGACTTCTTGCACATATTTTTTATGAAAAGAAGAAGGGTTTTAGCAAAATTAAAATATTTACAGAAAGTGTCTGCTTCCAGTGAACCCCTCACCACAGCTCTAAACACCAAGCCCCTCCAAAGCATAACCCCTGAAAACCCAAAGTAGGCTGGGTTTTGAATGACAGATTCAAGATCCTGCTATTCCAGCATGTCAGCATTAATGAAGAGAAATAAAATACATCATTACTAGAGCTTCCTGCAGATGAGCTGTCCCTCTCCCAGTAGCTGGTGATACCCTACAGAGATGATCCTTAGACTTTGCTGGCACATGCAGCTCTTCATGTGGCTTGGCAGCCTTCAAGGCACTGATGTACAAACGTAGCTCCAGTGCACGAAAAGCTGCTGAATGGAGGACCTGGCACAGTCACCTTGCTCTGATAAGATGCAGGCTCAGACTGATTAGAAATACAGTTCATTTTTCCTGGTGAATAAAGGGCAGATGGAAAGTACATTAATATATTCGTGGACTGGAGTTTGAGATGGCCCCTTGACTACTTAAGGTCTTTTTGATGCTTGTTATGACTTTTAACTACTTTTCCATGCTTCAATGTTGCATTTCGACCTCAGGGCTGACTGTGTGGTACCTACACTCCGCCACATCTTGTTTCCCAACAGTTCTGACATCTGACAACATGGCTTCAGGTTTCAACTTATCTATTACCTTAAAAATACAGAGATCTAGGTCCTGTAATTAACCTGGGCAGTTGAATCATGTCTTAACAGAATAAACCAGGCACAGGCAGAGAATCAGGCCAATACACTTGAGAATTCCCGAGTGATTCACTTAGACTTTCCTGACAGGTAGCATAATCCAGCCCAATGCATCATCTTTGTTCTGCCCTAACACAGGGAGCAGAATTAGGATGCAGCCTGACATAACCTGCTCTCAGGCGAAAGCTGTATTTAAGTGTCGTCAATGATGTGAAATTGCTGCATCTGAAATGATTTGGAGAGCTCATTAAATGCCTATTAATAACATTAGGCAGCATTATATTTTGTAATGGTGGCACAGCTGTTTTGTGTAACTTGCTGCATGGGATCTTTTTTGTACAAGAAATCTGTCCCCAGAGAAAACCACTGAGAAAGAAAGAGGCAGGACAGAGACCCCAGAGGTTTCTTCCCAACAAAAGGCATTTGGTGGACTGCATTTGATATGTCAGCTCCCTCTTAATGTCACTCCTGTGTTTGCTGCTAGCTCTCCTCACCGGTTCTCTGGGGCTCCAGCATCTCCTGACTCTTTAATTGATTACTTTGAGGAAGGGAAGCTCCTCTGTATTGTCTGCCAAGCTGGTCTTAACCTGGAATGCCTGGAAATCTTTCAATACTTTTCTGCCTCGTGTTTCTGACACTCATCTTAACACATTTGGTTTTACCCTTTCACTGCTTGCTGACATCTCCATCAATGTAAAATATGGTTGGATTCTGTACAGGGAGCTGCTGGATTCTGTAGTGGTTCAACACACTTTGTTCTGTTCTCACCCTTCTTGTTCACAGATGTTTTTCCATTACTCTTCAGACTACTCAGTGCTACTAATTAACACCATTTGAGATTAATCAAATGGATGGATGGAGATTAATCACCTACTAGTCTAACAGCAAAGCATGCCATCAGATGCTCTAGACCTAACTGGGGTCCAGCTTAGCCATACTGCAGCAGGAACTAAAATAAAGGCACGTTTCTCTCCTGTAGAGGGTTTTCTACGTCACTGCATTGCCAGTGCTTTGTGGCTGGTTGGCATTGCATCACTCCTTTGCAGGTGCCAGATGTGTGCCAGGAGCAGAGTGATGCTTTTTTGGCAGCAGCTGTAGGATTTGGCACTTGGTATGATTCCCCATCAGGCCCCGGATGCAGAGGGAAGGGGCTTTCTTCTGGCTCAGCTACAGCACAGGCTGGCAAAAACATCTTGTGCAGCACCCAGAAGGCAGATCCCACCCCAGCGTGGGGGAAACTGTACCCGTGACAGGAAGAGAAACCACAGCTTCCATACAGCTGGTGGTGTGTTCATGTCAAGGAGCAGAGCTTGGCAAGCAGGGGTGGCAGAGGCAGCAACTTTTTTTTCAAATAGTAGGTGCTTTCAGCTCCAGAATGGTGCAGGGTATGCTAAAGAACTGACCACCTCATTCCCCAGTGAAGCAAGCACTGACTTGCAATACCATAATCTATTAGCATTCCTTTTTGGTGCTGCACCTTAAAATAATCTCCTCTAATTGTAAAGTCCACATTCCTCCATTTCTTAATATAAAAATGTCTACAGATGGATGGAATGAAATAAAAGAAATGCTCAAAAGCCAGAGATTATACAGGCTTCATTGCAAAGGATGTTATTTCTGTCTTCCACATGGTCCCTTATGTCTCCTTCCCTGGCATCCAATAAAAATACATATCCTGAGCATCCGAGTCCATCGGGCAGCTTGCACATCTCAATTACAGCATGTAACAAACAAGGCAGCTGGCCAAATCCTATTGTGGTGTACAGAGCCCGAGTCCTGCTCAGACAAATGAGCCTCTTCGTACAGGAGTTTAAGCTGGATCAGACTGGCAGGATCAGTCTCCTCCATAGTAAAGAGAAATGGAAAGTGAGCCAATCTTTACAGAAAAATGTCTTATCATAATAGAGGCAACTCAAACATAAACAGTTTGAGTTAAACTTTGTCAGTTTTCAGCCGAATACAAAACATTGATGGGGGGGGGTCTGGGTCTTTTTCCCAAGTGGAAGCCTTTTTTCTTCACAGGAAACAGCATTTTTCTCTAAAAACTGCAAGCAGCTCAAACCTTATTTTTTTCTCGTGGGTACACTTCTGGCCAGCTAAAATTGAAAGCCTCAGTTCCTTTCCAGTCCCTGTTTTAAACACCTGCTTGCACAAAGCCGAACCTACTGGCAGTGAGGACTGCAGCCTGGGGGTCAAGGAGGAAAACAGGGATCCAGTGAATTTTCCTGGGAGCTTTCCCGGGATGCTGGTTACTCACAATCTTTCCGCGTGGCTGCGTCGGGAAGCGGCGCGGCGAGGCTGAGGGAGCTGGACACACTGGCGCTCGCGCTGTCCAGGCTGCTGCCGAGGTGTAACCGCCTCATGTGCCGCACCACGGCTGTGGCATTAAACGCTTGCTGGAGAGAACGAGAGAGAAAGGATAACAAATGGGAGGTGGAAGGGCTGCTTCTGCTCCTCTGCTGGCTGCTCAGGGTTGTCAGAGGTAAATAATAAGCACCTCATCTGATAATTTTAACGTTCAGCTCCGGGGCCCCCAAAATAAGAAGGACGTGGACCTGCTTGAGTGAGTCTAGAGGAGGCCATGAAGATGCTCAGAGGTCTGAAGCACCTCTGCTATGGGGACAAGCTGAGAGAAAGCTGGGTGTGTTCAGCCTGGAGAAGGCTCCAGGGAGACCTCCTAACAGTCCTCCAGTTCCTAAAGGGGGCCTACAAGAAATCTAGAGAGGGACTTTTTACAATGGCATGTAGTGATAGGACAAGGGGGAATGGCTTTAAACTGACAGAGGGGAGATTTAGGTTAGACGTTGGGATGAAATTCTTCCTTGTGAGGGTGCTGAGGCGCTGGCACAGGGTGCCCAGAGAAGCTGTGGCTGCCCCATCCCTGGCAGTGTTCAAGGCCAGGTTGGACACAGGGGCTTGGAGCAACCTGCTCTAGTGGAAGGTGTCCCTGCCTGTGGCAGGGGGTTGGAACTGGGTGAGCTTTAAGGTCCCTTCTGACCCAAACCAGTCTGTGATTCTATTACTCTATCTTTTAAGCTTTTCCCAATTTCTAGTTTCTAAGCTAGAAGCAGCAGTATCAACCATACACATTTCTGCTCTGGTCCTGCTCCCTGTTGCACCTTCTAGCACTCGGTTGGGATGCTGCTGCCTACAAGTAAAGTCATATTCAATGCATCCTGCCCTGCACAAACACATGGGGGGGATTCTGCATCGCTTCATGTGCCCTGTGGTGCTGACCCCAACTCAACATATAATCATGAGTGCTTTAGCCATGAGCAGCCCCACTATCTCATTATCTTTCTATAGAATCTAGAATAGTTTAGGTTGGCAGGAACCTTCAAAGCTCATCTAGTCCAAGACCCTGCAATGAGCAGGGACATCTTCAACTAGATCAGGTTGTCTAGAACCACATCCAGCCTGGCCTTGAATGTCTCAGGGATGGTGCATCCACCACCTCTCTGGGCAACCTGTGCAAGTATTTTACCACCCTCATTGTAAAGGATTTCTTCCTCACCATCCAACCTGAATCTCCCCTTTTAGTTTAAAACCATCGCCCCTTGTCCTATCACAACAAGCCCTGCTAAAAAGTCTCTCCCCATCCTTCTTATCCCCTGTAGGACCATGTAACGTAAGTCTTTTGACCAAAATTTTGGGCCACAAACACATTAGCATGCTGAAGAGGTGGCTGTACGGCCTCCACACTAGCAGAGTTATGTGTCTAAGTGTCATCCTGGAGGACATGTTACTTACTCTCCACTTGCTTTTTGCAAAGTTCTTCCGGATCTGAGCGCTGACCGACTCATGGATGTTTTTGTTGAGGGCTGTATCCCCAGCGATCCTGAAATGGTCAGACCACACAAACTGTAAGACATCTTTTGCTCTCTTTCTCTTTCTTAGCCTCTACCGAGAAGGCCGGTAGATTTCTCCTGCAGGGATGATGATTTCATTCACATGAGAACTCAAACTTCCCACCGTCTCTGCTGGCAGCAGCGGTGGAAAATCTGGGGCAATAAACGCAAGCATAGATAAGACTTGTAGGTCTGGCAGCTACAAAGAGGTACGACCTTATTCTGCTGGTGCGTGGCTGCTTTCTATCACCATTACAGCCCCAGATGAAAACATTCTACCTGTTTTTTTCTTTACATCTTAAGATTTAACATCAACAGGCTGAGACTACTTTTAGCCTCAGCCATGCAGCAGCTTCCAGAGCCACTCCAACCTGTCTGATGTCTGTTTGCACTGGAGGTTTTCCTGCCACCCTGCAACGTACATAGGCATTCGTCATGATTAATGTAGATTTACAGTAAAGCAGATACATGGACGGTCACTACAGCAGCACAGGCTGCACAAATAGCTTAAGGTGAACAACACTTGACCTAAAAACTTGACTGATCTTGTGTAGTTTCTTTAACAGATAAAGACACTTTCAAATCCCCACTAACATGATTATTTCAAGGGCATTTTATTGATTCATTTAACTCCTCAAGGCATGAGATCTGTTGGAAGAGTAGGCACCATAGTGAACTGACATTGCACCATGTGCTGAGGTAATTAACGCTATCTAACTTGGGTGATGCCAGGAAGCAAAGATTACCTTCTATGTTGTATGTGATGTTTTCAGAAATGAATTTTTTAGCCACAGTGTAGAAAATCAATGTCCATTAGCAATAAAGAACTATAAGAAATTGAATAATCTATTAAGGCCAGAGCCTCCCAATCTTGGAACCTCAAATAGAATAATCAGAGGATCTTGGGGACACTGTGGTCATTTAGTTCTTCCCCCTCTCCCCACCCCAGCTCTGTCAAAATAATTTTGACGAATATTTGCCTAACTAGTCCTTAAAGATCTCCAAAAGATGGAGACTCATCAGGCAACCTATTCCAGTGCCCCACTATCTCCCAGAAGACATGGAAAATAGTTTATTCTTTGTCTTTGAAGTGCCCTTTCACATATTTGAAGACTGTTATCATGTCTGCTGTCAGTCTTCTCTTCTCTAGACTAAACAAACTGAGTCTTCCACTGTTTCTTCATAACTCATATGTCCTAATCCTCTGACCTAGTGAGCTTCTCTGGACTTTCTCCAGCTAGTCCACATCGGCTGTACCCAAACTGTTTGCTCTTTTCCAACTAAGGCAGCAGAACGGCAGCATTGCTTTGTGTTTCTTCAAAGATGAAACTTTGCTTACATACCACAGCCTGCCATCTCCGTTTATGTGTCCCCTGAACTGGAGACATTCCTTTCATTTTGCCCAGATCATTCCAAACTGTAACCCTCTTCTTCAAAGGACATCCAGCTTTTTCTACCTTCGTGTCAATGGCACGTCTAAGAACTGGTCTCTGGGACCAGTCTTCTCAAATTGCTCTCCTCCTTCCTGCTGGCAAAACTCACCCAGGATGTCAGAGAGATGAGAGGAACTACTTGCTTTTAGGAAGAAGGTGAGGGACTAAACTGCCATCTCCCAAGAGTGGGGAGCCACTAACCCCATCCTGTTGCAACTGACTATTAAGTTATTCAAGTGTACTGGAGCCAGTAGGATTGTGGACAGGAAGGAGCAAGGTTTCTCATTCAGGGTAGTCCCCCTCTAACTGTTTGTCTGACCACCACTGCTACATAACCTCTATCTCAAATAGACAGAAATACTGGCCCGATGAGCAAAGCATGGCTCCCAAATGGCACTTGACATCCTCTCTTGGGTCCCTATGCTGTTGATGGAGATGAGGAGGTGTTTGACTGAAAACTGGAGGATCTTCAGTTCTTGCTCCAAAAAGGATTCCATATGATCTCCTCTCTAACTGACAGTAAGGTAAATTGGTCTGGATTTCCCACTGGAGCCAGGCAGCTAAAGTCTTGTGAGGCAGCATCTAGGTTAAGCTTCATGTTGACTGCAGACAAGCCCTAGCAGAGTTTCCCAGTGGGAATGCCGGCTGCTAGTCAGAGTGACTCCAAAATGCCATGAGCACTCTGGTCTGCCCGAGAACACCTCCTCAGTGAAGGCAGGTGCCCTCAGCACATACCATCTGGGAGCACTGACCATCATACTGATCCACAGATGAAAACGAAGCTGAACACTTAATATGTGCATAGCTACAAGCCAAAGTATCAATTTAGTAACTGATCAAAAAGACCAACTGCAAAGAGAAAATTTACTTATATTTGCAAAGAAAATTTTTCCTCCAAAGCTAATGAAGCATTTTGCTTTATGAACAGGTTGGTTAACAAGCTGTATAAGCACAGATCAAGTTTCCCACTTGTCAAATTCTATTTTGGAAACATGGACAGAACAAGTTCTTGGGGCATTATACCCTTGCCAGCTCTTCCAGAAGATCTTTCTTGCCAGTATCCACAAGGATTTGCAAATGCATTTTTGCTATATGAAACTTTTCATTGGGTGTGTAGCTTAAATACAGCCTCTATGTTTTAGGGATCATTTTCTGAAATGCTGGTGGTTTCTAAAAAACCTGCTGGTTCCAGTGGTTCACAAACTGTCTTGTACCACCACTAACTCTATGTTCACTATGCACTTCTCAGAATTCCAGGAAAAAAGTCTTGGTGTTTCCCAAATAGGCAGAACAATACTTGTTTACTTCAGAATGAGATGGACAGACATCCTGTGAAGCCCTCAGATGCTACAGTGGTGGGGTCCATCCCACATCTAATATCTCTTCAGTAGCATTAGCACCTTGCAGATGCTAACTTTTAATCAGAGCAAAATAACATCAGTGTTGGGGTAATTTAGTGCAGCAGGATCCATTCAAGCATGTGCTGGTATGACAAACAGTGTGGCTTAAAACAGAGCCCTGGCTGCCAAAGCTGGATGTGGGACTGTTCTCCAAGCCACCTCTGAAGAACTATCCTGTTAATGGTGAAATGCTGCATCATGAAGACTGTGCTTTTACACTGCATTTTGCACTTGGAGGATCTTGAAACTTAAATAAAATGCTTGCAGTGTTATAGTGTTTATAGTGTAGTTTTGCTAACAAAAGAAATGTTAACATTCATTTGCTGTTGATGTTTTGCTGGAGATGTGGTGCTTTAAGGACAGAGGCATCAGAGGTGAAGGTGAGCAGGTAGAAGTCATATCTTCTATACGATCAACTGGTAGAGTTTGAAAAATGAGATAAGCTTTTGAGCACACAAACCTACCTCGAGGTGGGTATCATGAGCATTATCACATCTATACTGAAGGTACTTAATCAGGAACCTCAGTTCCCATGCTAAGAACATAATGCATGGCATTAAATAGAGATACTGGGTTTAAAGCACGTTACAATCACCCTTCCACCTTTCCCTAATTCTCCAAGTCCACAGGCTATAAACCATCTTGATTTTCCTTTCAGGGCAAAAACCCCCTTAGCATCTTTCTTTTTCATCCCTCCCCTGGGCAACATACCCTCCTCCTTCAGGAATCAGATCTACTTTTCCTGAGCAACAGCCCCCTTCTGTTTCAGAGGTGATCAAACCGATGCATATCTAGTCAAACCCTGAGCAATAGCTCTTCACTTTCCACTTAACTTCAAAGTTAACTGTGTCAGCATTGAAGCTTGTTTTTACCAATTATACCAGTTGGCCAGTAAAAGATATTACTTCTACCTACCACACACATACACAAATGTAAAATGAAACAGATCAGAATAAAGCATGATCCGTTATCATGCTGAGCATCATCCAGAACCAAGCAAGGGTTGATGAGCCCAACTGGAACCTGTTTTTTCTCTTGGGATCCCCATTTTGCAGCACATGAAAGTAGCTATATCTTAACAACAGTTTGGGGAACTTCATGTTGAAGTTGGTCTTACATCCAGCTGTAGACATATGTGTGTCTCAACACACAGAATTGGATACTAAGGGCCACAATCTAACAATTCTCCATCACAAATACTTCTGCTGAAGCTAAGAAGAGCACTTTTCATGAATAACCTTAAGACATCTAGCCCTGCGTGAGAGGCATCTAACCTAATGATCAAATATTATTTCATAGTATATAATTTATTATAACATTCTATCTGGGTTCAAATGACCACAGCGATTTATCTGTGAGAGGAACCTCCAACAAAGTCCCTCATTTACCATTGTTTTCTGAACCTTCATGCTAAAGGCAGCAAACTCACATGCTGTGCTGGCCAAACAGTGCTTGGAAATGCTCTTAAGCATGATGACAGGAAACATGGAGTTAGCTGTAATGGATGATGCTGAAGCATCGTAACTCTTCTGTACATACACACACATATATATACACACACACACATACCCCACATGCATACGTATAAATATACACACGCAAATACTCTATCAGCGATGCTCCAAAATAAATAGAGAGCAGGGACAAGCTCGATTAGAGTTTGATTTAATGTTGTAAACATCAGCAGTTCCCTTCAGGAAGCCCTTTTCACACTTCAAACAACATCGTCTGAGAACTGAGCTCTTTGTAAACCATGTCCTTTCCCTGGGTGGAAATTATTATCTGGCTCATGCTCTCTGGCACATAATAAACACTCAGGGTCATGGTCACAATTTGCAGAGGCTCAATCCTTGCCAAAGCTTTGTGATTCTTCGGCGTAGGCGGGATGGATGTTGGCACGTCCCAAGTATCTGCTCTCCCTCTGCACAAGCAGTGGGGAGAGGGGAAGGCCACACTCATACCTGCGGACACGAGTGTCTAATTTAGGTGCCACAACCTCCTTTTCCCCTATACAGTCTGTACAGAGAGACAATACATACATCACCCTTAAATTTAGATGTCCCAAGTTGCCTTCAATGCCATAACGAGCTTCAGCACACAGCAATAAATCCTACTTAAAGTCACTTGGGTAATGTGTGACAGAGCAAATAAATTCATGGAACACCTTCTAATTCCTGCACTGGCTTCCTAACTGTTAGACCTTCCCCTCGCTCTCTGAGAACTGTTTTCTCTCCCTCTGACACATGCCTAGAAGCTGAATTTGGGGCTGTAGGACCCAGCTTGACCTGACAGGGAGCACAGTGTGATCGTATAGCTATGGAAAAAACAGGTCCTCAGGTTTCTGCTGCTTGCCTGAGCAACTGCCCTAAACACGATGTGGGTTCTGACATGGCAATATATTTAATAAACTTAACTGCTGTCATTAATATGGACTAGGGAAACATTAAAATGTATCAAGCTGCAGCAAAATTACCCCACTCTTTTGTTTCCTTCATTTTCCATGCCCTTTTTGAAAAGTCACAGTGGAACAACTAAGCAGAACATTGCACCTTTGCAACACACCACAAACGGTGCAAACGTCAGTGAAAGATATGCTATAAAGTAAATAACTTTTCCAATGGAAAGCATAAGTCACCTGTATATTCAGCTGGAGAAATCTGTATAAACGGACAGATTGTACAGGCCGGGGTGTAACCATTATACCAACAAGTCTTACACATTGTACTGTTTCCACTACAATACTTCACTGCAATTATTAGCTTCCTTTTCTGCCAACTCCAAGTTTAACATACCGTCCCCCTGCCAAGGCCTTTTGATTATAAATAGCAAAACATCACGTAAATGCAGGCATGTGGGGAGCAGATACAGCACAGAAAAGTGGGCCATTGGGAAGGAGTATTTACTTTTTTTAGGGTCTGATCCTGTACAAACATTTTGTCATGTGAATAACTGGCTATTCCAGAGCAGTTTCCCAAAATTCAGAGATTATTAACCTTAAAGGCACTAATGTAACATCTTGCAAAACCCAGTTCTTGCAAGCCTTGTTTGGAAGTTTTTAATAGAAACTTGGTAATTAAAATAAGAGGTGTATTTTGGAATCAGTTTGTTTTTCACAAATGTTACAAATTGAAACAACAAAATCTCATGCAGTTAACTATTTTTATCACAATAAGATTGTGATTAAACATGTATGTGTTAAGTACTCCTGATTTGATAGATTTCTTCCTAATTTGTGGCTGATCCCAATGATCTGATACTGCAGGGGCAGATTTCACAGGAGGAATTAAAAGGGAAAGCTGGAAAATGTCACTACACAGAGCCACTTCATCATATACATTCGTGGCAGTGTCCAAGGCCAGGTTGGACAGGGCCTGGAGGAACCTGGTCTCGTGTGAAGTGTCCATGCCCATAGCAGGGGTTGGAACGGGATGAGCTTTAAGGTCCCTTCCAACACAAACCAGTCTGTGATTATCTACCATTTGCACAGCACCAATGACTTGGGTAGATGTTCTCTGTTCTGCTGGTGAGACAGGGAGACAAACCCCAACTGAGTGGCAAAACTCCCATTAACCTCAGTGGAATCAGGATTTCACTTCATGCCAACTCTAGGGTTCAGAGATGCTCCTCCAGTTATGTTGATCTACAGAACCAGCTGTGCAGGCACCTTTTATGAGACGCCATTAGGGCTACTAGACACAGCTGCCCATTGAGAGGAAGCACAAAGCTCTCCTCCTCCTCCACTGAAAAGGCTTTCCTCTTCTTCAAACAGAAGAATGCCATTGCAACAGATATAATGGCTAGAATGAGACAGAATCAGTAAAAACCTCATTATTTCCTGGCATAAGCAATGTGGGTGGAAAATGCCTCTTGAGCAATGGCTTGGCAAAAGGAGATCCTATCACTAACAGATAGTATCCAGGTGAGTAGCCTTGATTATCCAAAAAGGCATTTATCACTATAGGATCCAAACGCTCCACGAAATCACTGCACCACTTTCCAGAGAAGTCCATAACTACAGCACTGATGTTCTAGGAAGCCTTTCGGAGCAAGGGGGAATGAGACATTGGGCTTTGTTCAACAGCGTGCTAGGGAGGACAGAGGCACATCTGTAGCTGTATCTTTGGAAACCTCCACACTTTGCATTGACTGGACAACTGTCCTTCTGTAATCCACTGGCACATACTGTCTCTGTGTTGAAGGGAGCTGGATCTGGGATGCGAGGTGGAGACATGCTGAGTATTTTAAGGCTCCCTACTACAGTGCCATTTGCATGTCTGACACTTCAAAGGCTGACCCATGTTTTACATGGCTGGGAGGTAGACCTGCGTATGAACCACTGCCCTGCAAAGTCAGCCTGGCAGAAGATGCCCCCCTGCCACAGAAATGGGGGAAAACCCTTTCTAGGGGGTTGTTTTCAAATGGAAGATTAGATTTTGTAGAAAATATAAAGAATTACGGAGCAGTCTGTGAGTTTCCATTGGCCCCTGGCCATGACATGCAAATGAAAAGAAGAAAAAAGGGGAATGAAAACACTTTTTATCATTTTGTTCCTTTATGAGGGCCCAGAAGCCATGTGTGTCACAAGTGCCACGTTTCTTTGTTGCACTCCAGCAACCAACACAAACCTAGCAGGGCCAAGAGCTGGATGCTTAATGTTTTGTGTATCTTGGATGTAAGGCTTTGGAAAATCTGCCTCTGATTTCTACAAATGGTCACCTCTGCTGGGAGTTGTATTCCCATTGTTTATTCTGTATTTCTAATACTGACTTTTGCAACTTGTTTAATTTCCTGAGGCTCAGGTCAGTATCATTTAGAAATGGTTTTAGTTGTTTTTGGTTGGGGTGTTTTTGGTTTCATCTTATGAAAGCTGGATTTCATTTCCCGAATTTCCTTTTTGTCACACAGACAATGCAGTTATTGATGGGACATTGGAAAAGGGCAGGCCCAGGTCTTGACTTCTCATCCCTCATATATATTGATGACAGGCACTGATGCTGCTAAAAACCATCGGTTTTGTTTCTCATTGTTATGGGGAATGAAAAGCAAGAACCTTGCTTTTCTCAATGATTTACATTTCCTTCTGCATCCCAAGCCTCCCCTAAAACATTTTAATTGTAAAGGCTGAGCCTGGATCTTATCTTCAGCCGAATTTGTAATCACTGTGACAGTCTGCAGTCAGACAGTGGTGCATCATTCCCACTATGAAGAAATCAGTGTCATTTCACAGTCGTTTCACTTACTGAAAGCCTTCGTGAGTGCCAAATCATTAATTAATGATAGGGTAAATCATCAGCAAGCCAGAATGGTAAAAACCTGTGAAATGATCTACTTTATATCTAGTCCAAGGACTAAAAAGAGCAATGAGACAAGACAAACGAGTAAGTGTCAGAGAGAGAAATGTAACCCCTTTTGAAGCCAAACCTAAGTATTTGTTTTAGAGCTACAGCCATTAAGTTTTACTCTGCTTTGAAACTGAATACAGTTTTAAACTGGGTACTAAGTTCTGTCCCTTTATGGACAGGAAGGTTGAGGAATGTACCCAAAACCCATGTCTGCTAAGGAAGCAGAGATGACCAGAGCCCTGCTGATGTATCTGCCCAGCCTCAAAGGGGTGCAGACTCCATCCTCCAGATGAATGTCTCCAAATCCCAGCAGAAAGCAGTGCTACCTTAGACAACTATGCCTGTGCTTTTCTTACCATGCGCTTTATACTCAACCACACTACTTGAGGCTGATCCCTGGGCTCACACTGCATCACCAGGATGGTTTTCAGGTCCATGAAGCTGTTCAGCTAGTTATGACTCTGGTGCAGTTGCTTTTCTGAGGGGCTATGGACACTAGAAAAAACCTGTTGCCCTGCAAATGCACTGCCTAATGCTCTTATCCAGCTAGTGCTCAGGAAGCTGCAAAAAGGAAATGGTATTTGTGGTAATTGTGATAACATAAAAACACAACCTAATGCACACCTGGGCTGAAAATGTCATGCCCTTGATTCCTTTATGTTGCCACTATTATAGCAACCAAAATAATATCTTACTTCATATATAATGATCCCTCCCTAAAAGACTTACATCCAGAGCCCATTTGTGGGTGCAGCTGGTAGCGTGGGGTGATACTCAGTCACTCAGGGTTGGTCAAAAGTACATGAGCCACTCTCGCTTCTGCTACATAATCCTTGGGTGAAGTCATCCATGTGCAAAGGCATCATCTAATTTAAAGCACTTTGCTGAGGTCTAAATTACAAATACAGTCAGACCAGGTACTTTTCTGTACTCACTGCAGAGAAATAGCATTTGTATACCCAATTCAGACTCATCCCTCCTTAGGGTTTACTATCTCTCCCATTCAACAAGAGAGGATAACAGCATGTGGTAACAGTCCCTTACTGCAAGGAGGAGGTGGGCTATCACCTGTGAAGCACAGATGAGGACTTCCTACTTCATGGAGTGCTTTTAAGAACTCTGATACTACTTTAGCAGGGACCTCATGATACCCAGCTTGCTGCACATCTACAGAATTTGACCTTTTGCCCCAAAATATGATTCCTGAGTTCAATCATTTTGGCATATCCCACTGCTCCACTACAGTCAACATACATAATTCAGCATTTCACTGAGGCTCAACTGGTTGGTACATGAGATTAAAATCCATCATGGTTTTCCAGGAAAATCTGGAGGACAAAGGTGGGGGTTGTAAGAATAAAAGCACACAGTTATTTAGTGGAGGTTATCATACTATGTGACAGAAAACCCACTTCCACCCATGAACGTAGAATGATGCTCTCTGCTCTGAGGGTTTCACGTAGTAGACTATTGCTTACCAAGGGTGCCGTGCTGCTTGCTCACAGGTGTATCTTTTGTTAGGGTCCTTCTCCATCAAATTCCGAATGAAGTCTTTAGCTGTAAAAAAAGAGATAGATAACAATTTAAAGCAATAGATTTGATGCCCAGTTCTGCTGCCATATGATCAGCCAACAGCACTGATCAGGCTACCAAGTACCACCTGGCCACAGCACCAGGAAATAGCCTGGGATCATTTGTCTTTTATTAGCATAGATATAATCAAAGTGACTTAGGACAAAATCCAAGCTATTTAGTATGGCAGATAAAAGCTGAAGGCATCTACTCCTGCAGGTATATTTAGGAGTGGGATGGATAATACAGAATCAGCAGAGTACAAGCCTGCCAGCTCCCAGCTCCCTGGCCAGCCAACTGCCTCTGACCACCTTTGTGGTCTGAATATGGCCACAGCTGTTGGAAATGCTGGTAAACTAGAGTGGGAAAGGCAAGGAGAATGCCATAATAAGAGGTACTTCTCATTGCTCACTCCAAGCAATCACATGCACTGGCAGCTGCAAGGACATGCTGCAGATTTAAAAACAAGTTACTGAGGAAAATGGACTCCCTTGAGCATAAGGTAGCGTGTTTTTAATCGACACTATAATGGAAGGAAGGGAGACTGCAGCATGGCATGCATCCAGTACTTTTAGGAGAGAGTAGCTGAAGGAGCCACAGCAAAGCCAAATATGGGAGGAAAGTCTTTGTGCTGATTAAGGTGATGGACTTTGCCCCAGAATGCAAAGGGGTCTGCCAGCAGACTTTCATATTTTCTCTGAAACCCCTTATGAGCTTAAAAATACTTCTCATCACATATAATTTTAAGTAATCCATCACAGCAATATCTGGACAACAGATGTAAGCAGCATGAAATGTTGTTCTATGCAGAGATAACAGGATATATAACCTTCTTCAAAATGAAACACTTATTTTTATATCTCCCCTGCCTTAATCAGGAGTACTAATGCATCAGGAAACTGCCTTTTTACGGATATTTCTGTATGATAAAATATTCCTAGAATTCATTTCTTCTCCTGCATGAAATGGCAGACATTCCCACGGGTTGGACAATGCAGGGACACTGAGCTTGCGTGACCTCTTGGAGACCACACAGCATGTCAGCGGCACATGCAGGGTGCAGTGCTGAACATGCCCCTGCTGCCACTTATAGACAGTGATGCTGGTAGACCATGAGCCATGCTGGAGCCAGAAGCTTGTAAAGGCACATCTGCCTGTAACAGGTTGGTATATCTGCCTCTCTGCCAGACTACTAGAGCCAGGACAGCAGGCACTATGGGTTCATAGAATCCCAGACTGGTTTGGGTTGGAAGGGATCTTAAAGCTCATCTGTTTCCAGCCCTCTGCTTTCAGGGACACCTCACACTGGAGCAGGTTGTTCCAAGCCCCTGTGTCCAACCTGGCCTTGAACACTGCCAGGAATGGGGCAGCCACAGCTTCTCTAGGCACCCTGTGCCAGCGCCTCAGCAACCTCATAGTAAAGAATTTCTTCCTAATATCTAATCTAAACCTCCCCTCTTTCAGTTTAAAGCCTTTGCCTTGTCCAGTCACTACACACCCTTGTAAAAAGTCTCTTTCCAGATTTCTTGTTGGTTCCCTTAAGGTATTGGCTACGTCTTCGGCATTGGGTGGGGAAACAGGCAAGCATACAGGCAGCTATCTGGATCCAACCCTGCAGACAGCACTCCCAGTTTCTGAATCTACTTACCTGACTAATTTGGAAGCCATTAATTTCTTGGGTTCTTTGCTGTATACACTGCAGTCTCGCTTTGGACCTGCAGTGCAGTGTCAGTAACAGATCCAAACTAGTTTGCCACCTTATTATTAATGACACATAAACCACCTGGTTTTTATTTGGGTATGATGGAGAAATTCAACTGCTTTGTCTTCTTGGCAGTCTTCTGCTATCTTCATCTTCTATTCCAGCTACAGTTAGTGCTTTGTGTGTGGCTGGACAAAATGGTACTTAATTTGTTCTCCTGCAAAACTATTTGAGCTGAAAGAAATACACATTCCCAATGGTTTTCAGTTAAAAGGTGCTCCACAGATGATGGATAGTGCATTCTCTTGCCCAGAGGAGGATATCTGCAACAGGCATGCATGGTTGTTGCAATTAAATGAGCAGTAGTGTCTTACCAGACTCAGAGATGTCATCCCAATACGGAGAGTCAAACTCATACTCTGCCTTAAGGATCTGCTCGAAGAGTTTGGAGTCATTTTCGTCGTAGAAAGGGGGATACCCACAGAGCCTAAAGAGAACAAGAAAAGACAGATGTGACCCTGGGACCTGTCTCTGCCAAGAAGGTGAGAAAGGAGGAGGGAGAAGAAAGAGAAACGCTTAAGTCTTGCCCCAATAAGTTTTCGACCAGGCAAGCCCTGCCACGAGAGAGTTTTGTTCAGGGATGTGTAAACCCACTTCTGAAGACTGGCACTGTCCTGGACAAAGAGGAATTCCGCGTGGAAACCTGGTGCTGTGATCCTACACTGTCTCATGCAGATATCCCAGCCTCCCTCTGCGTACTTTTGGGTGTTTAGCCAGAGGAAGAGTTTTATTACATAGCCAGGAGCCCTTCCATCCTCTCCTATATATGTGGTAAGAGGAGCTTTCATGAGCTACACCCTACATCCACAGAGCACCAGTGGTATCAGGCTGGCTTTAAGTACAACCCATTGTCTCAACACCGTGCAAGAGACCAAAGCTGTATAGGAAGGTTTGTCAGGCAAGTGGGGAGCCCCTGGACACCTGAATGGGCTTCTTGGGGAGGAACAACTGGTGCAAAGCAGGACAAGGAGCCCCACAAAGCTATCAGGCAGAAGGCAGGATACATCTGCAGGTTTCACTGGGATCTGCATCCCCAGGCACAACAGGGATGATGTCTGGGAGTCACCACCTCTGCAGCAGAGCCTTCATGGGCTGCACATGGACCTGCCGCTGCTGCAGAGACACAAGGAGAGCCTCTCCCTTTCTCACTTCTGCAAGTGATTTTGCTGCCCACATCTAACTGCCTATCTTGCTTGGGGCTAACACCAGTCCTGTCCTGGGTTTCAGCATTTAAAATCAGATTTCTCAGGACACCTAAGCCCCAGGGCAAGGAGGACACTGAGCATTTGCCAAGTTTGAGCTAGAACACTCAGGATGCATCTTTTCAGTGTTGCAGAAAGCAAGATAGTCACTTGGCCAATGCAGGAGGACTCCTGTCATGGGAAAACCAGATCCAGCACTGCGCTAAGCAAACACAGCCATAAAACTCGTGTGTTGGAGATCCCTCATGTCCAGCTGATGCTGCATGCAGTAGCCTGTCCCTCTCTGTACACACATGCCAGCAAAGATACCCCTTCCTGAAGCTTTAATACTAATCTTGATAAGTGCCAGATTTACCTCTGAGGCTGGTCCAAGGTTTTAGCAAACCCATCCTGCTCACAGTTAACAGGCCTTTCTGACTTGGTTGTCTCATATACAGATGATGCATTTTTTTCTCTTATCTCTAGTCCATGGTGTAACTTATTCTTTCACATACTTCACTGATATTGAAATGATTTTCCCCTACAGTTTTCTTAAACCCTGAATTAATCAACCTCAATAAAGCATTTCAGTGGAAAGAGCCAGCCATTATAAACAGACTGAAGATCTAGCTGAAAAACTACACTGCAGCAACAACAGAGCAAGGGGGGAGAACTGTAAGAAATTAAATACTTAAGTTATTTATAACCCAAAGCCAGCCAGCTGCCCTGGAGGTTATTTGAACCAACTCAACACTTGAGGGTGAAAGGAGCAATGTTTTGTTAGCCCTGAAGAGCCAGTGGGCTTGATAGCTAACTTAAATACTGAGATGCTGATCTGCATCAGGTCCATATTGACTTGACGAACTCTACTGAAATCTGCAGCATTATAATGAAACCACTGTGATTCAAGTGAATCAGAAATCCCTCTTTTTCTTGCAAAGCAGATGAGCCAGTCCTCGTTTGTGTTGTGCTGGATGACTGCCATTACCAAAAGAAAGTAAGATAACCTCATGCCAGACAATCATTCACATTCCTACTTAATGGGCACAAGCTTGTGTATGGGGCTCAATGCAGCAACTCCTATGTGAAACCCATTGGTGGAAGTGGCGTGTAAGAAGGGCCATTAAAAATGGTGCATTTAAGCAAAAAGCCACTATATGTCTGGGTAATGAAGGAGAAACATCTGGTAACCTAATGGAGATACTGGATCCACAACCAGGATACAGCTCTACAGCCATCTATGAAGAACATTTATATGACTCACTTTAAAGTAATAAATATCAGCCCTACAGTCTTGTGGGGTGATGCACACAAACTGATTTTCACCTTCCTCCTCTTTCACCACAACCCTCAAGATTTTGGGTGCTTTATTGAGGGGTTCAGAAGTGCTGGAGTTCAGAAATGCACTGCAACTGTTAGGATGGCCACTGGGGTAGAGATGCCAGGGCTGGAGGACAACGGCTCCTCCAAATGCAATGGGAGCCTGTCTCTCTTCCCTGGGGAACTCAAGGCGCTCTGTATAAGAAGCCTGACAGCCCTTCATTAACTTCTTGCCTTCCTCAGCACTTTTCTTAAACAAACACAAACTGCTCTGATAAAGCATTCTAAGGAGAGCAGACAGCGCTGTGCATGCCGAAGCACTGGCAGGCTGCTCCAGAGAGAGAAATAACTCTCTTAAAATGTGCACTGTACTAATTACCTTGGCAAAGGTACAAGAGCACAAGTTAGGGCTGCTGTGATTTATACATGCTCGTGGCAGCAAAAGGTAAGAGCGAACTGCTGAGCAGCACAGAGCTGCAGGGCTGTAACCATGCTGGGGGGGAGCAGAGAGACATGAACCCCAGCAAGAGCTCCAGCTTCTCCAGAGCCTTTCAATCCTTTTCCTGCAGGCATTCAGCTCCTCCCCTGCTCCTCTGTATGGCTTGAACATCTACACATCCAGGGTACCCACCTCTCTGCCTGGGAGGTCACTAGAGCCTATTACAGGGGTGTTTGCTGGGAGGGCTGATACATAAGGAGAGCCAGCATCATGCATGAGGGTACCCATATTGCTGGGAGCTGGGCATAGGGCAGAAAAGAGCCTCTCTGGACACAGCTATTCCCTTGCTAGGGAGAGGCTTTAGAAATGTTAGTTGCTATTACAGGTCATGGGCAGGGACATCCCTCCAAACCAGCCTGAGAGCACAGTGATCCTGGCTTAGCCATCATGGGGATGAACCTCCTGCATATGGGGACCCAAGGGTGTTCCTCCAGGAGGCAAATTACTGAGGACTTACACCAGAAAGCATGTGATAAGGGAGCAAGCTCCCCAGGACAGAGGAGGTGGCATGCAGAAGGGGAACACCAGCGCATCCTGGCACAGGGAAGGGTTGGGAGCCAAAACATAGGCATTTTTGCTGTCCTTTCCCTTGAAACCAGAGTTCAGGAAGACACAGAAGTTTTAATGTTACTTACTTTAATGTTCTAATGTTACTGGCTTTGCAGTAAGGGATGAGAAAGCCCCAGTAAATTACCCTATCACACAATTTATGGCTGGAGGAAATCTTGCTGGACTTCCAGCAACTGGGCCATGTTCCAAAGTCCATAATAAGTCTTTCGTTAATTCTTTCAGAATCAAAATCCCACCAACCTCATTTCCATCTGCTGGGACATTTCTGTGTGAAAAAAATGACCTCACTATCGGAGGTTCTGCTGCTTTTCTTCACATATGCACAAATACAAAAATAACCCCTGTCTTCAATGTGAAAAAATCCTGCGTTGTCCTGGGGGAGCTTCAGGCAGCTCTTGGTTGTCATCATTTTCTCGCAGTTTCTCCAAATAAAAGCTTTTCAGGATTATTTAGCAACCGTATCACATCAGCAACAGATTTTCCTTTAACTTCCTATTCCCAGTCCTGCCTTAAAAAGAATGGGATTCACTTAAGAAAAACACAGGTGGATGTACAAAAGAAAGATATTGCCAGGAGTCATTTCTAGAAGCCACCAAGGAGAGGACAAGAGGAATACCAGAAACAGCTTTTCCTCACCAGACAGAGAAAGAAAAACCCTGCAAGCTCTTGTTACGTACTGGGTGTGATATTAAAGGCTAAATAACCCATGTGCATGGTCAGTGTACAGACTGTAATACAAGAGGCACTGGGGTTAGTTTTACAAACAATTTTATAGTGAGATTAGAGCAAAGAACTCAGTAAGTGCCCAAAGACGTCAGATGTGTGGTGTGGGAAGTCATCCAAGTGCTATTTATAGAGATAAATACATGTATTTCTTCTTATTTTAGGAACAGACCCTCGTACTGGCTGACACTGGTGCCCTCATGAAGCTGTGGACAAGGACATATTAGCATGGGGAATAGAAAATATACTAAGAAGCAAGCAATGAGGAGCAATCATTTGGGGTTGTCTTCCCAGCGTCTGAGTTATCCAACATGCCCAAGTACGTTTTGCCACCACTAGTTCTCCTTCCAGTACCCAACAAGTAAGTTATTCCTCACTTTCTTGCCGAGGCTTGTGTGTGATGCTGAGCAGGCAAGATCACTGACCAGCTTGTTCCAAAGTATGACTCCAGGATGATGGTGAAAACTTCTGGCATAATACACTTTGCGCTGCCCCTAGTGAATCCTTCCATACAAACATCATTGATGATTCATGCACATCTACTCGAAAATCAAAAGCAACTCGGCCGCAGAGTGTGAAACTATGATCCAAGATTTATTTCCAGATACTTGTGACTCATAAATAACAAACCAGCAGTTCTCTGGTCCTATCAGTGAGCAAAATCAGGAGAAAATGCAGGGCAAAATGTGGTCAGCCTAGTGCAGAAGAGACAGGAAGTGCTGACAATGAATAACCAGGGGCTGAGGAAGAACACTATGTGGAATGTTCCACATTCCAGCTTTGGAATATCATTTTCTATTTTTTGCATAAATTAATGATCTTCTTTGTATCAGGTGTGCCTGAAATCAGTATTTAAGGTCCCCCATCATGTGACCCAGACAGGTCCAAAATCCATCTGCTGGAAATCCACTGATGTTTCTTGCTCTTCTTGTGCTTTGTATTTCCAAGCTGAACACATTATCAGAACTAGCTTGTGATAAGTAGTAAACCCAGCTCAACAGTGAGGCTATTTCAAATGGAGAAATACTGCAACTGGAATAACAGGAAATCTCTGGCTGCTAAAATTAGTTTGTGTGAATAATGACTTCTCATGCAAAACAGGGTTTGATAAAAACTCTGCTGGTGCAGCCTCTGCAATCTGGCTGTCATTAACGAGAAGCATTAGAGACTGGCACTGAAACGAAGGTATTCTTTCCTAAGACATCCTTCACCTTGCACATCACAGAAACAAGTATTTGTCTAGAAAGTCAGTGTCACAGAAACAGTTTGTTCTTCCAGTGTCATAAACTGCAGGCTCTCATGTGAAACTGAGCTTGTGTCTGGAGGCACTCAAACCACCTGCAGTAATAATAGCTCAAAGCATCTTTAATTTATGCCTGGCTTCTGTGTTAGATTCCCTTGAGTTTCCATCTTCTTAAATGACAAAAGTTTGTTCAGAGTGGCTGTGAGAATCTGTGGGAGAGGTGAGGAGGTGATGCAGGATGATGTGCTTGGATTGCCCTATGCATAAATACATCTCCAACTGGTTTTGGGCATGTGCAAGTAGCTCCAACTGTGCTGGCTGTGGATCTGGAAATGGGATCTCCAGATGGGTGTGGTGTTATATTGGAATTAATAACTCCTGCTCAGAGCAGGATGAACCACCAGCATTGCACCAGGATGGCTATGCTGCTGGTGACTGTGGCACTCAGCACCATGCCGCACTGTGAGCATGCTGCCTCTGCTACCTCCAGTGTCCTGAGACAGCAAACCTAGATGTCAAACCTGTGCCCATCACTGCTGGTATCAGACACCCCAGCAGGGCTACTTCCTTCCAGCTTAGGGAAGGATCCCTCGTCCTCTCTGTATTCACTGTACCCCTGACATCCACTTTCTTATGAAGCCACATCTGCAGTTTCTGGCTATTCCTGGAAGCAGGATGAGATCCAGTTCAAGGTCAGGGCATGTGAGATATTGGCTGGGTTTCTAAGATCCCATTGCAGTCAACAGAGATGGAATCAATGGAGACTGGAGAGCAATGCACACGTACCATAAAGCAGATGAAACCATGCTGTGAAGGCAGAGTATGGAGCAGGGTGTGATCCAGTAGCCTCAGCATGGGCATTTGGTGCTATTCAACACAGTCCATCGTCTCCCACTTGGCCTCCATCTGACACCCCAGAAGGAAGGTCTCTGCAATGGGTTACACTTGCCAAATCCATGTGGCTGTCCTGAACACCTCGGTGTAGCACTAAATGTAAGTTACCTAAATGTAAGTTTAGGTAACTGAATGGCATATGCCAGTAAATGACTGCTTGCATCAACCCAGGCTGGGTTGAGGTGCCCACACGTAGAGCCCAGTGCACTGGAGAAGCTGTTGAGTGCATGGGACCCCTGTCCCCAGCTGGCAGGTATGCCATGGGGCTATGCAGGGGTGGACTGCTCCTCACCCACAGCCTGGGACCAGGTAGGACACTGTATGTGACTCAAACAGCACTAAGTACCTATGTTAGGGTATCCAAAGAGAGCCTTGGAGTGCCACTGACTGTTACAGGAGCTGAAGGACGTAGCTCACATGCAGAAATGTTTAGGGAGGTAGTTTGATCTCAGACCCAATCCCACCCAAGCAGTAACAGTCTGGCAAACATATTACCATGCTCCTTGTATGGCAACACATCATTACCATTCATTTTGAGTGTACACAATACAGATCAAGTCCTTATTACATGAAGCACAGAAACCCTGAAAAGCTCTCCTTGTCCTGCAAACAGGAATTCATAAGGACTCATTCTATTAAACTGATTTAAGCCTTTGGGGTTGGGAATTCCCTGTACAGCAAATGGGGAATTTAGATTTGAGGAGTCAGTATGCCTTGCTTGACAACCCCAGCACACACTGATTTAGAAAACAGAGCAGGAAAAGACTGAGCTGAACCATGCAGAAAGATGAGATTGAAGCCTTCCACTGATCAAAGATGCGTTCATAAACTGGGTGTGGAGGACACATTACTTAGCACTGTCTCACCCATATTCCTCAGCAAGACACATGCAAACAACAAGTGAAATAACAAGAAGTCTGCCAGCAAAAAAGACCTTTGCTGCATGAGCTGTGGTTGAATGGGACTGAAAACTTGGAAGAAAGCAGGGCCAAGTTTATCTCCAGGCAACCAGGATGCAACAGTTCACAGCCCTCCTGTGGGCTGCCAGATGGAGGCATTTTTTCATGTGGATATTTGACAGTAAATGGAACCTAGGTGGTGGTTGAGCCTGGACGTGAGGCAGCATCCTGCTGTCTTCACCTGCATCCTCCTTCTTCATGCTCTCTGAAGCTAGTCAGCAAAGTACTACAAAAGACACACCAGTGACTCTACGTGACTGTCCTGCCATGGCTTACAAGGATCAGAAAGCCATAACCAACCCTTTAGCCTTCCATGATAAGGTTTGCTTGTGGGAAATGGTAAGTTTGGTCAGCACACATCATCCTCCAAAAGAGCACTCGGGAATGTGGTGTGAAGCAGCCTCCAAGATGTTCTGGCATTCATGCTGTATTCCTCCCAGCTGTAGCACATCCTGCTGGGCTTTGCTGCAAAGTCAGAATCAGCACTGTTCATTTTTGCTTTGTTTAGCAAAAGCTTTTTGCATCCTGCTCTTCATGGTCGCTCCAAGATAAATCCATCCCCTCGCACAGTTTTGTACTCAACAAGTTTTCAAATATTCATGTAGATTGGAAAGCCAGTCGTAAAGCTGATGTTTTTAGGCAGGACTTTGTTTTAAATAAACAAACATACATGCAAATAAATGAAGCCTTCCTATACTATCATAACATAAAAAAAGCTATTTTGGGAAGCATATAACTTATGCTCAAGACTAAATGAAAGTGTAAAGAATGAACATTGCACAGAGTGGATAAGAAAGCAATGAGGTTTGTCCTAGCAAAAATAGTTCTACTACACCATCAAAAAGCTATTCATGTTGACAAGCCACAAAATGTTTGCATAAGGAGAAAGGGAACAAAGTAGGAATGCTTTAATGCTGTGCCTCATTGGAGCTGCTTTTTCCTCCAGTCTTGTGTAACTGCGACAGTTGTGTAAAAGGGAGAAATAGGAAAAAGGGAAAGCACTGGTAATGCTGGCATGAAAAGACATCTGTTTTTGTGGCAGTCAACAGCTACACAGCAGCTCTGTGCTCTCTTGCACAAAAGGAACAGGCTTCTTGTGCACTGTGTGGTCACCCTGAGTCAGCCCATGGCAAAAGCCTGACCTCCTCTCAAAGACCCACATGAATAGCTCCTGCTTCAAAGTCTGAAAGGCTGTGCAGATGTAACCTGTGTAACTGAATGGCATGCATGGATTCACAGACCCGAGCCCTGAGCACAGACTACCCCAGCAAGACAGGTTCACAGTCAGCAAGTTCTGCAGTTCCTTCTCAACCCAAATACTAGCAGTGGTTTCATCTCATGCACACAAAACTGGATTCAGATGATGGTGCCCAGAAATGTTACGGGCACCCTTCTCTGGACAGCACTAATGACCCTTGGTACTAGGTGATACCTTGATATCCCTGTGACCACAGTGGCCAGGATACATCTCCAATCCTTCCAAGTGTTGTTGCTGGTGCAGGAGGTGGCTTACCTGCTTCCATGGCTCAAGTACTGAAGGCTGCCCTTTTCATGGACACAAGTCTGGATACAAGGAAAAACCTTTTCCCCATGAGGGCAGTGGAAATGGTCAGAAGTCAGGCAGTGGAACAGGTTTCCCACTGACCTTGTTCAGTCTCTGTCTTCGGAGGATTTCAAGACCCAACTGGATAAAGCCCTAGACAACCTAGTCTGACTTCAAGGACAGGACTTCCTGAGGTTCCTTTCAATCTAAATTATCCTATTAACCCTTTCTGAAGAAGGGTGGCAGGTACCGCATGAGGACAGGCACTAAATCTCTATAAACATGAGTTCTGAGATCTATCCACCACTGTGGAGAGTGCTCAAAAGTCCTGGTCCTGCAGCTTTCTCAAGCAACCAGTCCCCACTTTTCTGAGCAGCAATTTCAGCCAAGAATGCAGAGGCTTAATGACTTGATAGAAGAGTGACAGAACTGATAGGGCACAAATCAGCTCATCCTCTCCTATGGGACCTGATGGTTGGCTGTGTTAAGGAAAACAACCTCTACTTTTCAGTAAAAAAATCCCAATACTTTGATGAGATGTTTTGATGAGAATAATTCACTGCAGTACATGAAAAGCTCTTCCCCAATTATGTTCCTCTGTGCCCTCCCCAGGGAACACAAAGCCATTATGGTGATGCCTTGAGAGAGGTGGCCCTTCAGTATAAACCTGTGGGCATAACGCTGTGCTCTGGACACAGCCCAACTTGCATCTTGTCAAAACTAATCTGAGCAGGGGACGTAAGAACTTCATTAATGTCACAACCTGGACAAGCCCATACTATTGGACATGGTGTAGTTAAGCTTACGAAGGGACCTTGCCATTTCCTACCACTTCTGCCCAAATTTCAGCCTTTGTGTAACTGAGAAGTGTCCAGGATTCATCTTACCCTGGGTCACAAGTGTCAGAGATTAACTTTTTGGACCAGATTAAGAGGGTAACAACATGGATGGATAGCATGTTGCCTGTGATTGAAAACGCAGCAGATACTCACAGGATGTATGCGATGACCCCGATGGACCAGCAGTCCACAGCTTTGCTGTAGGGTTTCTGGGCCAGCACTTCAGGAGCTGAAAACACAAAACCAAATAAGCACATGTTACCAGACCAAGCATTTGAATGTGGTCAAGAGGTAGGACCCTAAACCTTGAAGCTCCCTGAGACCGTGTGTTGCCCTCCACACACAGCCCTTGCATTTGTAAATATCTTGAGGTTTCTGAAGCTCAAAATCTCACAAGGACGACTCCTGAAGTGGAGCAAATTCCCCATTTACTGACTCCAAGGACAGAAAGCAAAATGGATAAGTTACATCTGCAGGAGAGGAAGGAGAGCTGTCACCATACCTTCCAACAGCTGCCTTCCAAAGCCTGACGCATGTCAGACTCAGAGGGAATCATTTGTCCTCTGCCTCTGGGAACACGGACACCTCTAAAAGGAGCTAAGCCTTCTGCCTCTGTACATTTCAGCCACCATAGCCTGAATTTTGCTGGAAGTGAGAGCCTGGACATTTACTAAAACTCTCTCTGGGTCTGCTTTCCTGTCTTACACCGGTGAGAGCTAAAAAGGTGCATTTTTTTGTTTGGGAGCTTGGAGTATTATGTTTTCCCTGTTGGGACCTTTCAGTGCAAATGCTTAAACCTAAATTATAAACCCCTGTGACTCTATAATCTTTTTCATGTAAAGAAGCTTTTGCTTTTTTCAAAGCAAAACATCCACAACAATGCAAGAAATCACTGACTGTGGCATTCCTAATGCAGACTTGGCACACCGGGTCTTAAAAAGCACAGCATTTCCTCTGAGTACGTTGGAGTTCGAATGGTGCAAAACAGTCACGAAGGGGCAAGTCCCAGCAAAAATATTCCTTTGGGATACACCTTTCTCTGCCAGGAGTCCTGCCAACATCAAAGCAGTTAGTTACTTGAAGAACTGCAAAACAGAATGGTGAAGCACATAAATGTATTAAAACTTGAGCCTCACATTTAGTTGCTACATATGCTTTGGTGTACTGGTAAGGACTCTTCAAAGAGTTATCTTCTTAAGCCAGACAAGCAGCAAAACTAAGGTCAAAACTGCCAGCAAGGAAAGGAACAAGAAGCAATAATGAGAAACAGAAAAGACTTTCTGGTGCGTGGGCATAAGAATGTATAAAAGAGATTGAAGGGAACACAGTGCACAAGGCAGATGAGGGCATCCAGGCTGCATTTCCACAAGAAGCAGAATGATGGAAAAGATGAAGTCACACTGGGCACACATTGTAAAAAGGAAGAAAACACGGGGGAATGTGGATAAAAACATAACTGGCAGACAGGTTATGGAGGCTCTTGAAAATTGTGATATGCCTCAATCTGCAGCACAGGTTATATATGTCAAGTCATGCAGCAAACGGGATGTATAAGAAGTTAAACTGCATGTATAAGAAGTTAAAATGATGGTTCTATTCATCTGTTGTTAATCCTAAACCACAGTTGCCATGTGTGAATACTCCAACACCTATCCACTACATGCCAAAGGAGGTTTCTTTCCATTGTACCTAGCATGAAAGGCTCCTAACCTGGCCCTCAGTGGGAGAAACCTAAGAAGCCCCCGACTCCTTCCAGGGCATGGGCATGCTGCTGCAATGAAGGTTCAAATTCTTGCTACAATAGGAGACAAAGCTGTGGAAATATAAAAGGCATCTACAGTTGGCACCCAAAATGCTGGTTCTCAAAATGTAACTCCTTTCCCAATGGCTGGGTCAGGGTCTGTGTGTCAGCTTGGTGCTAGTCAGTCTGGTGGGGCTGAATTTGAGGACAAACTTGGGATAAGAGAGTAAAGCACTGGAGATAACCTGGCAACCTGGGACAGTCTACCAAAGTTACATTTCTCTTTCATGAAATAGTTGTTCCCCAAAGTTGCTTCCCAGACAGCTCTTGTGTCCCTTAATCTAACTCTTTCCTTCCTGATTCATCAAAATTTGCCACCAAGGTTTCCTCTAAAAAGAACCTTTTTTCAAAGTGTACATCAAATAGGGTTTGTGAGACCCTGCTTCCTTTTTTGTTTCATCCCTTACGACTGAATTTTGCTACAAAATATGCAGAAGGGAGTTAAATTTCCCCCATCCTTAGGTGATTAGATGTCTTTGAACTCTCCACTTGTGCCGAATTCCCAATACTTTGTTCTACCTTTGACTGTCTGCTCTTGTTTGCACCATTTTCAAGACTGGGAAACATTACATGTCTCATATCCCCAAAGAAAACACTATGCAAATGGCTCCAGAGCACCACGGATCCTCATGAGCTCCTGACATTATACATAGGCCACATTAACATAACAGAAAACAAATCTGAGACGAGGAGGGGGGGAACTGTATAAAGATTCTCCCCTTAAAACATCAAAGCTGAGCTGGGGCATTTCTCTCAGTTTTAAAGGAGTGAAGGGCACTGAGATAGTTTCTGCTGTGGATGGTAGCTGTGAAGCAGGTAAGAACACCACAGGATCAAGCCCGAAGCAAACATGAGACTACTACCTCCCCTTTGGTAAACTAAAATGGAAAAAAAGGCAGCAGGTTTAAATAATCATTTTAAGGCCAAATGTCTGCTTTTGATTTTTGTTCCAAGGAGCAGACATGCAACAGGAACAGGAGAACATAACTAAGCATCATCTGTCTCTGATACATGGAGACAGAAATATTTAATGAGCTGAAAAACAAGTCAAAGGAGCTCTCAGAAATGACGGTAGATCAGTGCCAAGAGGCAAAAGTAGAAGATGCAGTGAAAAAAATGCAAGAGCTGATGACATTAAAGGATCAACACAGATGGCTGAGGAGGCAAAACATCAGTAAAGGAGAAGGGGAAAGTCAAAGCTCCCAGTTCTGGCACTGGGGTGATGCCAGCTGAGCAAAGGCTTCCAGTATCGCACCTCCTCAGGGAATGACTGTGGGCTCAAATGCTACCCAATGGTCATCCAGAGACAGGGAAGTCAATGAAGCAAGCCTGGACCCCTCCTCCACATGCAGGAACTGTGTTTCAGGCCAAATCAGCATTGCTACTAGCAACATGTGCCAGGTAAAATGTTAGGTAATGGTCCCAGGGCCTCATCCCACCTGCAGGTACATGAAGACGTGCTTCCCAAGCCAAATGATGTGGTGTTTAACAGTTAGATATATTTTTTGTTATTTATAT